TAAATAGTAAATTAGAATCTACCGAGAATGAACGTCAAATATTTTAAATCAATATTTGATTCTATTGAAAAAAAAGGCTCACAATAAAAAAAACTCAGTCTAAAATGGGCTTGAGTTAACATTTTCACTTTTTTAAACTTCATTAGATTCCAATAGCAATATCGCATTTTAAAAAGTACGATAAAAATACATTATTAAAAATCCCATAAATCATTTCCGCGTCACGAACTAGTTGACTAAATAACTATTTTTAATAGTCAAGTCAACTGATGAGAGGGGTCTTAATAGTCAATAAAGTGATAATTACTGGGGTCTGTTGACAATCAATCATCATTATACGTCAAATAAAGGGGGTTCAAGACTGTTTTATTAAAGAAAAAAACATTAAAAGATGAAATGTCTGAAGTCGAGTATTTAATATAATTCACAGTTATATAACGCTGGCATTGGTAACACGAGCGGTAACTCCTAGAAAAAAAAACCGACGAATTTGCTTTAAAATAAGACGCTGAAAAACTTGTAAAATAGCGCTAAATGGGATAAACAGATTAATTCGACCTCTTACAATTTTACAAACAAATCAAGACACATAGAAATCCCATACCTATTATAACAATGCAATCCTATAAACAGTACCAAACAATAGAAAACTATCTACATAAAATTCCTGTGAAACTAATGACTAAATCATAGGCAAGTTAACCGTTCACTGCACGTCGATCTTATTAAACCCTTTGTTACTGAAAGGGTCGCTAAGACCCATCTGCCGAAGAAACTAGCCCTCCTAATGTATGGCGGAATTAATACCCACTCACGGTTAAGTCTTCGGGAGCTATTGTTGTGGAAATTTCGAGTTTTAAGCGATGTGACAATATGGAGTGCAGAGGATTTCCTGGTAAATGTTAATTGTCTATCGATTGTTATAACGTAAATACTTACAATATAACCTTATTGTAATAACACCATTATTAATCCATTTAATTTATCGAAAACGGAAATTTTTTTTCGGCAAAATGCGACATCTCACGCGTTTTTATTCCTTATGAATATCTTTATTTATTTATTTACTTAATAATTTATTTACACACAGTAAGTTGGACAAGAAAAATAAAACAACAAATAGGCACAAAGGCACAGCTTATTTCTTCTGAAATCTCTTCCAGCAGGCCAGTTGTGGGAGGGTTACAATAAACAGTTATGTAGACTGACTGACTTTTGTGTTAAATTCATGTAATGTGGTCATTTAAGTTGTAAACCTTAGTGCCTATTTTTCTTTGCACGTTAGTGTCTTGAATCGTGATTTAACAATCAAACAAAATGGCGATGGCGCCAAAATAAATATAAATAGCATCGCATGGATTGCTTAAAAAAATACCACAACCTTTTTTTAATTGAATAATGTGTGTGTGAACAAAATTGTGTACTGCGCAGCTAATCAGCTAACTTCACTCGCCAAGACACGTTAGCGGTATTGTAGAAGACTTAAAACACAATAAATTGATTAAAATACAATCGCCTGATATAATATAGGTATTAAAGTTACTCGGCCTTAAATCTTAAGTTTTGTTCAAACAAAAACTTTCTAGACATTTCGTCTGAAACGACTAAAAAATGGTAAACGAATTAGTACTTACGTCGGCTTTAAGGTCCATTACGTATTATTTATTGTTTTACATACCTGTAAGCAAAAGAATAACAATTTGTTTCAACAATTTTCTCTCAAATAAAAAATAAATACATTTATATTAAACAAATTAAGGTTACCTACGGCCGTCACGCAATACTTATCTAAATGTATTTAAGCCATTTAACATTGAACCTTATGGTTACGATATGAATTATTATTGAGGCCTTCAACTAAAGTCGGTCACAAGGTAAAAAATATTAAGAGTACATGAAATAAGCGAACCCAATTCGTAGTTATTTTGGATTAAATTTCCGAAAACGATTTTTTGTGCAGTGGATATCGTGAGACATATATACTAAATATGATACTTAGAAAGATTAAGAATAACGATTTTCTGACGACAATTAACTAATTGGGCTCTTATGAGCAGCATGTATGTTCATATGTGTGTGCCTTTGTTTTCGATAAATCCAAAAATTGTATTAATTGATTTTTGTTTTGGTTGATATCAAGAAGGTTGTATATTGTTTACCATTATACATAATACCTAGTAAATATAGTAAAAAACGTAGACATCTAGGCTTCTTCAAGTATGAAAGGTAGACAGTACAATACTTAAAGTACCGATTAATTTCGAGACCAAATCTGTACTTACACAAACAATCAAAATTCTCCGAAATCCTTGTTCAAATCTATGAAATTAACCCTCGAAAATTACCAGCCATATCTCATGTACGTTCCATAAATCCGTCTGAGGCAGGTCTAATTCCTCAGCCAATAATTTCATGAGAATTAATACCGTGTTTGTTTCGTGTTGTGTCTTGGGTCGTGAGTACCCCCAGCGGTTAGTTAGGGGTTAAGTCTCTGGAAATAGAACTTTGTTTGTTTAAGCGTGTTTATTTAGACGGAACATATCTATATGTTTATTTGCTATAATAATATTGAAGATTTCAAATATGATTGGGGTTGGTTTTAATGAAGGATTTAGTTTAATATTACGTATTTTCCACAAGTCAAGGTATATTGTATACCTTTCTACCTTTGACATTAAGACATGTAAAACTGTTCTTTTTTCAATACTGTAAATTTCAGAGACTCTCAGAGATCTATTCAGAGGCCCGAAAAATCAAATCAAAGAAATAAAATGCCAAACCGATAACAGAAACTAGTTTTTAACAATACTCCCACGTGATCTCCAATCTCATATGACTTGTGAAATTCCACGTCCATCTTACCAAGTGCGCACAATATTGCTGAAAACACAGAATGCGTCAATGAATTTATCTTGACGAAATCATTTCGCGACTGGACACACGTAAGAAATAATATATGTAATATCTTGATAAGTATTAACATGAACAATCACTGCCATCTATGTACTTTTACTAAAAATTTTCTACTACTTGTTTGTTTGAACGCGCTCATCTCCGAAACTGCTGGTTCGAATCGAAAGAACATTTCTGTATTGGATAAATCATTTAATGAGGAACGCTGCAAGCTATAAAAGATCATGATGCGATAAACAGTAGCCCAATAGCAAGTAAAACCGTGTACGAGTAGCTAGTACCAAGTCGATAAATGTTGACACGAACAATCACTGCTTATGTCAAACAAATCAGTATTGTGTTTTCCGGTTCATAATCTTATCTATGATAGAACTAGACACGTGTCACCTGTCAAAAGTTAATGATTTGAAATCAAGGTCATGCTAAAACCTACACACCTCTTTTACTTTTAGGGTGGGTAAAGGTAACCCTTTCTCTGAATTTTACATTCTGCTTAGCTAAGCTTTATATTATTTGAAGGTTATATGTATTATCGTTTTCAGCAGCATTAGGTATCCCAATACAAAGCCAAATTCTATCTCTGTGCCAAAGTTCAATTAGATTCGTTCTGTACATTTCTGCTCTTTGTGATAGTGCAACGAACATACTAACATTGTCAAAAGCTGTATTGGTAGGATATGTCCTACATTCATTAACTATTAAAAATATAATTCAATACCTACGTAAGGTTTGATAAAATAGAAAATCTTTATCAGTTTTCTGGCTTCTTCAAATATGGTTACTTCCATTATTTGTCATAAAACGGACTGTTTTAATTCACCCGATAAATTTTCACGGGGACTTTATTAGAACGATTTTTATGATGTCACCTACCGTGTTATGTTAGCCGGATAAATCGAATCGCATACCGAAATTTACGACCACCCGTTAAATTTGATAACTCGCGCTTTTGGTCGCATTTTACTGTTTATCATAAATGGGGGAGTTTAATTAAGATACCTAGCACTCGGATCTGTAGCATAGGCAAAAAGAGTAAGTGGATTAAACTAACGTATCTGATAAGCTGTTAGCAATAAAAAGTAAATAAGTAGACTAAACAATAAATAGTAATCCATGACCGTTGACCGAAGACCTATATTGTTTTAAATTGGTAAATGAACACGATTGCCATAATTATGGTAAGCAACTCTATGGATACACGCAACACCAAATGCGTTACAAGTACATTGTCGTCATTTTGAAGGTCAGATGGGATTTGTACATTAGGGAATTGGGGATGGTGGAGGAGTAGGAGGTCCGGTAACCTCACCCTCACGGCGAAACACAACACATTACTTCACGACTGTTTTAAAAAGCCTTGGTATACCTCCAGTCAAGCCAACCCATGTGATTCGAAGTATGGATCTTCCAGACTTAAATGATACAGAAGAATTAGCTAAACTTGTTACAGAATCTACTACTCTAGCAGTTCTACTGTATTGTTTTCTTTTAATTTTCTTATCACATCACCATAGTATCTTGGCATATAGACAAACGATCAGATAGAAACATCAGAGATAAAAGATTCACGTAGAGAGCGGCGCTATGACGTAGACATTCATGATTACCAATTTATCTATTTATCAAACTTTACTCCAAAAACAATAGGTAGGTATTACGCAAAAGAACCTTCATGGTCATTTACTGATTCATCACGAACAATCTACTTCTGTTCCAAGTTTTCTTTTTTCTTTTTTTTTAATTTATGTAGAACAATATGGACCGCCTAAGACCAGGAGTCAGGGCCATGCAAGTTATCTAGGCATAAAACATGATGGAGATTCGGAATCTTTAAAAATGATAACTTCACAAACTTTTTGTCCCAAACAACACGAGCAATTAAGTATGGTGAACTCAATATAAGTATATATATAAAAAACAATTAATGTGACAAGTGGGATTAATCGTATTGTTCTTATAGTCATTACAAACGACGATGACCATTGACAGATAAATCAGATAACTCATTTAAAGCATTTATCTCATGTCAATGATTTGGCCAGATTGACGCAGGTACAGAAACAATCACTGCTGTTATCATTGTTGACATGACCAAAGCAGATAATCATCGTCACTTAAATGGTCTGGTTCTCGAGTGGGGTCTCAGTTAGTTCTAGACTGCGGTGACCGTAACACTACATCATGACAGTCCTAGACCAAGACGAAGTGAATAAAGTAACTGTAAGAAAAACAAGACAGTGTCTTCAAAAAACATGCTCCGTAGAAACAGTTAAGAAGAGGATCCCAATCATAGATTGGCTTCCAAAATATAAGACTGAATATTTCATTCAAGATGTAATAGCTGGTATAACAGTAGCGTTAACGGCTATACCTCAAGGAATTGCTTACGCAGTCATTGCAGGACTACCCCCAGAATATGGACTGTATGCGTCGCTAACCGCCGGATTGGTTTACGTGGTCTTCGGAAGCTGCCACAATGTCACAGTAGGCCCTACAGCCATCGTCGCCACAATGACAGCTAAATATGTTGCTGACTACTCAGCAGATTTCGCCATTCTAACTGCCTTCCTATCTGGAATCTTCATATTTATCATGGGTATCCTCAATCTCGGTTTCCTCGTCGAATTCATATCTATGCCAGTGATTAGTGGATTTACGACTGCTGCTGCACTTCAGATTGCCGCTTCACAATTGAAAGCATACTTCGGATTGAACGGGACATCAGGAACCTACTTCTTGGAATCAATTCAGAACTTCATCACACACATAAATTCAGCAAAACTTTGGGAAGCCGTGCTAAGTTCAGGTACAGTAATAATGTTAGTATTGTTAAAGAAGATGGGTCAAGGCTGCAAGAGAACTGATGGATTTGCAAAACAAATGAGATGGTTTCTATCATTATCAAGAAATGCTATAGTCGTAATCGTTGGAATGATTATCGCATACATTCTAAAAGTGACCCTTAACTCGGAACCTGTTCTGTTAATTGGCGATATTGGAAGTGGACTCCCGAAATTTGGCGTGCCACCATTCAGCACTGTTGTTGGTAATCAAACATACAATTTCCGAGAAATGATTGAAGTTTTAGGAGTACAGTCTGCAGTCATACCAGTGATTGCAATTTTAGAGACTATTGCTATCGCTAAAGCCTTTGCTGTGGGTGGCAGAATCGATGCCACACAAGAAATGATAGCTGTCGGACTTTGTAACATCATTGGATCTTTCGGACAAAGTATGCCCATCACTGGTTCATTTACAAGAACAGCCCTGAACCATGTCTCTGGCGTGAAAACGCCTGCCGGTGGTCTGACCAACGTCTTACTTCTGTTTGTGGCTTTGACCTGTTTAACTTCAGCTTTCTACTACATACCAAAAGCTTCATTAGCTGGCCTCATCATAACTGCTATGTTCTTTATGATTGACTACGAGATGTTTGGAAAATTATGGAGGAACGGAATCAAGGACTTTGTTTTAATGATGGTAACAATGTTCATCAGTTTGTTTGCTGGATTAGAATACGGCATCATTGCTGGAATTCTTCTTGAAGCTCTCTCGTTATTGTATTATGTCGCAAGACCTTCTTTAGAAGTTAATAGAATAAGGTACGAAAAAGGAGAAGTCATGGTGTTGACACTATGTGAAAACATGAGCTATTGTGCTGCAGAGCACTTACGTAGAAAGATAATGGACACTTCAGCAATCAGTACCAACATACCACTAGTAATCGATGGTACTAACCTAAGGAAAGTGGATTACACAGTAACTTATAACTTGATGTCTATTATAAAAGATTTGAACAAAACTCATCAAATTTTATTGATGAATTTTAATGTGGAATTGAAGAAACTATGTTTGAACATTGAATTAGAATTAGAATCTAAGTTTGTTTATGCGGCAAGTCCTCAAGAATTGACTGATGTTCTGCCGAAAGAAGTTTGAAAAAACTATTTAGTTAATATTATCAGACTCTAGGAAAGTTGATCCCAACAATTATGAGCTTGATAGGCTTAGTCTTGAGAGACTAACACAGGTGACAAATTAAAGATATTCTCGATTTTCTAGACTCGTAGGTCGTTATCAACAAAGTGATTCCACCCATTTACAACCTTTGATTCATTATTATGCTTAGATTAGGATAGTTATTTTGTATTTTTTTGTTGATGTAAAGATCAATTAAAATCATTGTAATGGTGGACGAAAGCCGAAACTGAAATCAAATGCGTAACAATTTTAGTAAGTTAAAAAATTTAGTAATAATAATTTTCGAAAATCAATTTACTACGGGTTTTAAAGGCTAACTAAAAATTATTATATGTTTGAAAAACTTTATAGGAAACTGTATTCTGGTGTTATTAGAAACTTTTCTACAATATTTTTATAACTTAAACTATTTTTTTTTCTATGTAAGGTTTTTATAGACGGCGCATTGTCAGAAAAAATACTTTTTAGGAAATTTGATAGCTATCGTGTATTTTGTTTTTCCGATTGTATTTAGGAATGTATATTGAGATAAGATAGTTATAGGTTGAGATGTGATTATTAATATTATGAAAGGGATTTTTATTATTTTGAAATTTAAAACGTGAGCCTGGAAGATATGTATGTCCATAAAGTGTTTATGAATTGTTGACTATTGTTTATTAACATAATATTTCTATCTATAAAAAAATAAGAACGTTAGAACTTTTGTATATATTTAGTAGTATTTTTTATAAATGTAAATATTATGAATGCTTACTATTTATCTATGTAAGGTTGAAATAAATTTAAGATAATGTAAATAATAAATGATTATAAGTAATTTAAATCTTTGTTTTACTTTAGGATCTCATTGCGTTTTTTTTTTATAAAACATATCAATATTATGCAAACTCAAATCATCTTAAAACACGAAAAGGCAGATTATAATCACGCACAGATCTACACTCTCATTCAAAATTATCAAATTTTTTTAGATAAAACCGAATTTCGGCGACTTTAACAGAATTAGATAATAGATAACAGAATCATGTAGCCTTTGATAACGCTCACAGATGAAAGGTGGTACAGAAGCTGATAGGCAAACTACGAGTTGTATTGTAATCATTACCACCCGAGATAATAATCTTTTTTCAGATAAAAGTCTACATTTTCATTCAAGCCTTAGTAACACATAGACTTCAGCGAAAAAAACACGTTCCAACATGACAACTGCGAACCCAGAAGAGCCAAAAAATGTGTTTCGACGGAGAGCTAGAAAATGGGTCCAAAAAACTTGTAGTGTTGAAGTAGTTAAGAAGAGACTGCCCATTATTTCATGGCTTCCGAAGTACAAATCTGAATACTTCATCCAAGATGTAATAGCTGGTATAACTGTTGGATTAACTGCTATACCTCAAGGCATTGCGTATGCAGTCATAGCTGGACTTTCACCTGAATATGGACTTTACGCATCTTTGACCTCTGGAGTGGTTTACGTGATCTTTGGCAGTTGCTACAATGTCACCGTGGGGCCAACTGCTATACTCGCCGCTATGACAGCGAAATACGTAGTGGACTATTCAGCTGACTTCGCCATCCTAACAGCCTTCTTATCAGGAGTCTTCATGTTCATGATGGGTATCCTTAATCTCGGTTTTCTAGTGGAATTTATATCAATGCCAGTGATCAGTGGATTTACAACTGCAGCAGCCCTACAAATAGCTGCTGCACAATTGAAATCTTTCTTCGGACTGAAAGGATCATCCGGTAATTTTTTTGCTGAATCAATCTTGAATTTTTTCAATAATGTTGGAACAATACAACTTTGGGAAACAGTTCTTAGTTCAGCAACTATTGTCATGTTGATATTACTGAAGAAAATGGGACAAGGATGTAAACGAACTGATGGATTTTTTAAACAGATAAGATGGTTCATATCTTTATCAAGAAATGCTGTAGTTGTTGTTATAGGAATGATTATTGCTTACGTCATTAAAATGACGCTTGAAAGAGATGCTCTCGCAGTAATTGGTGATATTGGAAGCGGATTACCAAAGTTCGGCTTACCTCCATTCAGCACCGTAGTTGGGGACCAAAGTTACAATTTCATAGAAATGGTTAAAGTTTTAGGAGTACAGTGTATTGTTATACCATTTGTAGCCATTTTAGAAACAATTGCTATTGCCAAAGCTTTTGCAGAAGGAGGCAGAATTGATGCTACGCAAGAAATGATTGCTGTCGGTCTTTGCAATATTGTTGGATCATTTGGACAGAGTATGCCTATTACTGGTTCATTCACCAGAACGGCTCTGAATCATGTCTCTGGCGTCAAAACCCCTGCTGGTGGAGTAACTAAGGTGTTGCTTCTTTTAGTGGCGTTGACCTTCTTAACTTCAACATTTTACTATATACCTAAAGCATCACTTGCGGGTCTCATTATAACAGCTATGTTTTCAATGATCGACTACCAAATGTTTAAAAATTTGTGGAAAAATAGTATGAAAGAATTCTTACTGATGTTAAAAACAATGAGTTTTTGTTTGTTTTACGGATTGGAATATGGAATAATAGCTGGAATACTTATTGAAGCTTGCTTGTTATTGTATAACGTTGCAAGGCCTACTGTAGGAGTAGATGTACAGAAAAGTGAAAAGGGTGACGTTATGGTGGTGACTCTAAGTGAGAATATAAGTTACTGCGCTGCTGAGCATTTACGCCAGCGGATAATGAAAGCAACTTCCTCTGATACTTCCAACGTACCGATTATAGTCAATGGTGCTAATCTTAAAAAGCTTGACTATACAGCTGCATTCAATCTCATGGCTATTATCAAAGATTTGGACAAAACTCACCAAATTCTGCTCCTGAATTTCAATCCAGAATTAAAGAAATTATGTTTGTACATGGAAACAAGATTTGAATCGAAGTTTGTTTACGCCACGAGTCCTCAAGAATTGACAGATATTTTCCTTAAAGACGTTTGATAGAAAACGATACTCATAATATTGGATATCGTTAATTAATGTGGTACTACTGAATACAGTTACAATACGAGGGATTATATAAAACTAATTAATAAAATTTTGATGTTTTAGGGGAAAACATTTAAATGAACCATAAAAACTGATATGTGGTAGATGATGAACAAATTGTGCTATCATGACAATCGAAATTTGTCCATCCGTTTTGAGATTGCAATAATTTTTATTTAGTTTATAAACCGCTATTTTAGCTACACTTTCATAACTTGAAGATTATGATCGTTGTAGGATAAATATAGCAAAAATATCTCGGAGGAACTTGACACTTCATTTCTGGTCATATGAAAATTTGAGGTTTTCGATAAGATAGTGGTTTTGGTGTGTGTTATCGTATTATTTCTATTTGACAGATAGAGATAATTATGTTTGAGTGCACGCACACTGTTTGGTGGACTGGTTGGGTTTTCCAAAAGTAGCATTTGTTAAGACGAACATTGGTTCTTTCATTTTGTGTTAATTGTATGTGTGCATTTTGTTATTTATTATAGTATTGTTAATTGTTATATGATAAATATAATGTCTACGATGCAATGTAAAATATATATTTTTTATTTTTTGAAAACCGAACAATTATTGATGAAGCTGCCTTAGGCCATATATAACAATATATGGCCTAGCAAATTTTATGCTGCTTCATAATTAATTGATGACCGATAATAATGTCAATTTTGTTCAATTACACTCATAAATGTATCTAATTACATTTTATAGGGTAGTTCATATAGGTAAAGCAAATTGTCGGTTTTTGTCTAATTTTTTAATTCTAACACGATTTTTTTTAAAACCTTCCATGTACTTGTCCGTTTATTTCTAGACTAAAATTAGCCAAATCAGTTTTGCCGTTATTTGATCAAATTATTTATTGCACACCACATGTATGAGTAGATGGAACACAAATTTAGGAAATATGTAGTCCCTGTCGGGCACGGCAAAATATATGTTTGTAGGAGAAAGGAGGATATTATTCTTGTATGTTCATACAGGGTGAAAGTAGAGTAAGAGTAATACGCAGTAAACTGCTTCCACGAGGTGGTCACGACCCTCAGCACTGAGGAAACCGACGCGAGGAGGAGGAGGAGGCCACGGTGAGGTGAATGATCGCTATGAACGGCTACTCTTAAATAACATGCTGCACTGCGTTATGTCGGACGAGATTTCTTGATATTATATTTTTCTTATTTATTTTCCATATTAATTATGTTTCTGAAATACTGATAATTCGTACTTAAATAAAGATAACAACGTCAATGGAACAGTTTAAAACGATAATCACGTCATTTTATTTATGGTCTTAGAATGTAGAAAAAAACAATTTATAATTACTATGTTACTGTAACTGAAGCTACCATTTCATTTTGTCGCATTTATTCGATTTCAGCCTGTATAACCAACTAAGATTAACCAAAATATGTAGAACGTATTATTTATTGTCTTTATATAGTTAAACTGAGTGTGACCACCGGAGTGATACCACGGCCTCACAGAAAACCGGCGTGTGACAAAAACAACGTTGTGTTTCGCCGTGTGAGTGAGGTTACCGGAGGCCCAATCCTTCCCCTACCCCAATCCCTAAATCCCCAAAATCCCAATCCTTAAAAGGTCGGCAACGCACTCGTAACTCCTTCTTTGTTGCGGGTGTCCATGGGCGACGCCGATTGCTTACCATCAGGTAATCCGTCTGCTCGTTTGCTGTACTATCACATAAAAAAAGTCAAATTATATAGACGGATTCCTTTACAATAGTATTTTCTCCTATGCCATAGCTGTGTGAACAAACACACATTTTGAAATAAGTAGGTACTTTATGTCCGTCTTTTCCGTATTGTAGATAATGATAGCCTTGTAAAGTACTTACTAAAAATAGATACACACATCGGCTTATTTTTGGATTTTAACTTTCATTTTTTATCTTTATATTTAGTCATGCCTAGTTGACTGTTTTTGAATTCGGCTTACATCTTAGGCCTTAGAAAATATCTGATAAGTTATACTTAGGTTCTATTACTAGTACTGCTTTGTTTGGTGTTGAAGAATCATTTTGTTTCTTATATTTATTTTGATAAGAGTCTTTATTTAATATAGAAGAAAATCTCCAGTAGGTGATTCGTTTTTTTTTATGTAATAGACCGGCAAACGAGCTTACGGATTACCCGATGGTGAGCAATCAGCGCCGCCCATGGACACCCGTAACGGAGGAGTTACGAGTGCGTTACCGACCTCTTAGTGATTACTGTTTTGGAGATTAAGGGATTGTGGAGGGATCGGGGGAGGGGAAGGATTGGGCCTCCGGTAACCACACTCAGACAGCGAAACACAACGCTGTGGTTGTTTCACGTCGGTTTTCTGTGAGGCCGTGTTATCACCCCGGTCGAGCCGACCCATTCGTGCCGAAGCACGGCTCTCCCACACTTAAAGTTTATGTGAATTTGCGCATTACCAATATACAATAAGCTATGAATTTAGACATTATTATATTTTTCATTATGTGTCGTCAACATTTTGTTATTTATTTGTTTAGATAGTCTTTACTGAATATAGAAGTAAATCTCCAGTAGGTAATTAGTTTATTGTGAATTTGCGGATTACCTATATACAACGAGCTTTGGACTTAGAGATTATTATATTTTTCAAAGTTAGTTAGAATTTAATATTTGATTAAATTTATTAAACAGCTAAAAGCTTCATCTCAACTCTATTCATACTTTCAACGTTCATTTTAAAACAATATTAGGTTCCCTATCTAAATAAATGTACCCACAGACGATTAGATTACTTAAAACACATGTTTATAAAGGTGAAAGTCCTTTGAAATTCAATATAATAAGTACTAGCTTTATGGAATATGTTTCGTCGTATTAAATTTGTTATTTTGGATGAGAACCAACGTGCAGTATGAATACGAGTAGAGTTTTATTCAATGGTAAGTACAGTCGACGACTAAAGTTTATTAAGCCTTTATTTTTGCTTTATAATGCTAAAAGTAATTTTAAATTACAAATGTATCTACTGGTTCATATTGAACAATTATTTTGTGTTTATTAGACCCTTTAATATAGAAGGCTATTTAGGGAAACCGCGCTAGACAAGCTAGTCTAAAATATTTATTTACCAGAATGTATAAATTCTTCTCATCTTTTGAAAAATTTTGTCAAAATTTTTGATAAAATTCAATGATATTCAGGAAGTTTTCTCAGAGAAGCAAAACTCACTACCTAGTTCAAGGCCAGTTACATTTACAAAAGAACCAGCACAAGTTTCAAGACACGGAACAAATACACAAACAATACTCCATCATAAAAGTGTCACAAAAATTCTTGACTGTCGTATCTCAAAAACCAATTCATTTATTTTATCGACTGTACAAGCAGCGTAGCCTTGACTTTGCCAAAAATCAGTGTCTAGACTAGAGAACGACTTTAAAGTATAAATTATTTAAATTATATGAATATTAAGCGAAGATAGGAACGTGTTTTGTATGTAAAATGATTTATTGTAAGAGGATGCAGTTTCGCTTCGTTGAATATTTTAAATTTCGTACTTACTGTACGGGACATGCGTCTATTTCATCTCAATCTTTTTTTGCATATAAAAGGATTTTTACTATAAATTAAGCCTGAATGTCGTGGAGGTTAAGGAGCCCGATTCTCATGTATGAGGGTGTGGGTTCGAAACCTGGCAAGTACCAATGTGACTTTTGCCGAGTTATATGTACTTTCTGTGATTATTTAGACACTACTGACATACGGTGAAGGTAAACATCGTGAAGAAACCTGGACTTATAATTTTTAATTATAAGGTTTGAAATCACCAACCCGCATTGAGCAAGCGTGGTGATTAATGCTCAAACCTTCTCCGTGTGAGAAGAGCCCTTTGCTCAGCAATGGGCACGTATAGGCTGATGATGATGATGAAGCCTGAATATTTTTCAGCTATCTTTCAATCTATCTTAAAAATCTGTTCTCAATAACCGCACTTAAACTGCTCCAAAAACTATTTAAACAAACTCAAAAACAATTTTGACATTCGCACTATACCAAGCACCATTTAAATTTTCAATTACACATAAAAACATTTTCACTTTGACCAAACGTCAGTGTGACGTCACAAGCGCCCCGGTGTGACACGTCAAACAGGGTAGCACTTTGACGAGCTGAACAAAAGAGGCGGCGGGGCTGCAAGCTTGTTTATCAGTGACGCGTCAATCAACATTTCCTGAGTGAGGTGTTGTTGACTGTACTAGTGTTTGAAGAGTAGCATTTCATTCTGTTTCGATTTATGTACCTGTATTGTATGTGTTTAGTCTGAAGTATGTACTTATGATTATTATATGAAAAAGAAAAATGATAGTGAAAATCTTAATTCGCAGAGGCATGGTAAATACAAAACGCGATAAAACAAAAAATAAAGTCATGAAAATTAATAGTTGACTATCATTGTAATTATGTAAAAAAAGTGCAGAAATCAAGTCAAGGACGCATAATAAAGACCTTTTTAGCTGGAATAGTGGGCAGAGTAGGAATATACAGCGTTAAGTTGATTAACCATAGACTAAAAAAAAATGGGGTGTGTTTTGAGCTGCTTAAAGTTACAACTAAAAAAGATAGAAACCAGTAGGAATAAGTGTTTATGGTCTTTTGGCGGGAAAAGACAAACTGTCATTGCGGTTTCTTGTAACTTTAAATTTTTAATTAAGAATGCATCTAATTCCAGACTTATTAGAATTTCGATTAAATTTTACAAATAACAAGCGAGGAAAAGAATTTCAATGAACACCAACAAGTTTACAGCATTTACTGATCTTTATATATAAAAATGGATCTCAAAACGTGTTGGTAAGCGCATAACTCAACAACGCCTGGACCAATTTTGCTAATTCTGTTTTATTGTGTTTGTTATTGTCAGTAGAAGGTTCTTATCAAAGAAAATATTAGAAAAGTAGAGAGGAAGATTCGAAAAAAATGACACTTTGATAGCGAGATATATGGATCCGTGCGAAGCGGGGGCGGGCCGCTAGTTCAAAATAAAAAAGGAAGGATATTTATAGTTGAAGAGACAATAGCGGATTGTATTATTTTGAGAATAAAATAAGAGTCCCTTGATAGTAGTATCAACAATGAAACACTACTGAACCTACATCAACGATGTTACTACAAAATATTATCAACTAAAAATATTCTTCCCACAATCCTAACTGTATGTAGATTTACTTCCCTCTTTGTACACTATTTTCCAAAATAATAACAAGAGAGACTAAATAAAATCGACACTTTACCATTTTGAAATTCAGTTCACAAACAGATTAAAATAAACAATTCGTTTATGAAATATTTGAAAAACATCATAAAACAATGGCGGCGGCGCGGTATTCCAAAATTCTGGCACGTTATAATGACACCCGTACCGACATCTCGGCGCCTCGCCTGGGGTTCAAACGAAAGGTCCCGTGACATTTTCCGTTACATATTATACCTATAGTTACGTATATTATACCTATATTAAGGAATATTTGTGAAACCGGTACATTGAATGTATACTATGTCTTCAAGCAGCCTTTTCATATTGATCAGTAGGCGGAATAGACTTTATATTCAATTCAAAAAGGCGTGTTTTTGATGAACAGAAAACATTGCTTATTATATTATTTAATGATCGTTTATATATTCGTTTTTTTCCGAGTCATCATCATCATCATCATCTGATGATGAGTGCCTATAAGTGCCCATTGCTGAACAAATCCTCTTCTCACATGGAGAAGGTTTGAGCATTAATCACCACGCTTGCTCAATGTGGGTTGGTGATTTCAAACTTATAATTAGAAATTATAAGTCCAGGTTTCCTCACGATGTTTACCTTCACCGTAAGTCAGTGGTGTCTAAATAATCATAGAAAGTACATATACATAACTCGGAAAAAGTTACATTGGTACTTGCCAGGTTTCGAACCGGCACCCTCTTGCATGAGAAGCGGGCACATTAACCTCAGGGCCACTTAACTTGCCGGGGCTGCGGGGTAAGCGCAATGAGGCACCGCGACCTCGGCCCAGAGCAGGAGAAGGAACGGGGGGGTTTTTAGTCAGTAAGAGTCTGACACTCTCTCTTCTCGCCTTACCCTGGGCGGGAGAAGTCATTGGATGATTTTCCCCTGACAAAAAAAAAAAAAAAAAAAAAAAAAAAAAAAAAAAAAAAAAAAAAAAAAAAGGGATATGGGATAGGGAGACAAAGCAGCAATCAAATTTGCTGATGGTAAGCATTCGGCGCTGCCAAAGGCCACCAAAGCAATTACAAGCGCGTTACCGTGTGTAAGGGAAGGATTGGAACTTCGATAAGCTCACTCACACCACAAGCCTTCTGCGGTTGCGAGTTAAGCACAATAAGGTACCGCGGCCCCAGCCTGGAGCAGGAGAAGGAACGGTAAGGTTTTTAGTCAGTAAGAATCTAACACTCATTTATATACTGATATCACAGAGGCAAGTCATCATTTGTGATGATTTGCCACCCCCTTTCCCCTCTCAAAAAAGCCTTGTTACACGTTGGTTTTCTGTAAGTTGTCGCTGGACTTCAGCTGGCCAACTTGTCCCGAAGTATGGTTCTCCTGAA